AAAGAAAAACCGGGGAAACCCCCCCCCCCCACACACACAAATTATAAAAACAAAATGTAGAAAAAGGAGGACAATACTCAATATTTCATGTCAAAAAAACGTCCAACTGTGTTCAAATCCAAGCTTTGGAACCAAAAAGTCGAAGATTGTTTCAGTTTTCTCATGTTCATTCAATCCTGCGATATTGCTTGACTGAAAGTGATGGAATTTCAATCGTGTCATCAATTCTACAACAAAAAAAATGTCATCCTTCCTGAGTGGTCACTTCACCGTCACCTAGGGACAGTTTCTGGAAGTTCTCCTCGGGGCTGTCGGACTCGTCGCGACTGCTTTCAAGGTTCTCGGGTCCCTCGTAGCATCCGGAGTCTCGGGGAAGGTGGGAGTTTTGGTGCTCCGAAGATGTCCCGGTCACCTCTTCCGTTTCGCTGGGGGCTGCAATAGACCAATCGTGAAATCTTTTATTAGACTGTGAGCCTTTGTTCCATGCCGAATAGCCAGGTGCAAGACAAGTCAACGCATTAACACTGACTCCGGAGTTAAATCTTAAAAATACATTCAAGTTCCTAAACTATTATCAACAAATGTATCTTATTTGTGTATCACTCGGCTGTAGAGCCTCCAATCATCTCTGAATTGGTGCTGACACTGTCTTTCCTTCTGGAGGGGGGCTACGTCTGTTCCTCATGGTCCCTGTGTGTGCTGTAAAGTAGTCACCGCTCCAAGCTCACTCCACGATGGACTACAATCTCACGTTTAGTGAGATTTACTAATTTGTATTGAGATTGTAGTCCATCGTGGGAGTGAGCTTGGAGCAGTGGCTACTTTTAACACACACAGGTACCATGGCAATGGCGCACATTCCCTATTTAAACAATGCCTGACCATGGAGCCAGTTGCTGTGTGGTTGTCAGCTATCCTTGTGTTCCTGCGTTTACCCTGCATTACTGCTTCCTTGTGTATGGACCCGGCTTGTGACCCTTGGACCTCGCTTCTTGTCTCCTGATCTGGCACCTTGTGACTTTGCTTAAACGTGTATGACCCTGGCTTGTGATCCTGACCTTGCTCCTTCCTGCTGCTTCAGTACCACTACTACTTTGCCCTCCTGTGTAGGATATCGGCTACGACTGACTCTGCTTTCGGCCATTCGTCCGGTTCCTGCCTACCCTGCTGTCCTGTGTCTGCTCATCTAGTCACCCTTGGCACAATGTTATCCAGCTTCCAGAGCTTCTCCAAGTCACCCGATCCCTGCAGACTCGCCTGCTCCTTCCTCTACCTTGAGCATCTGCAGCCTCTGCACAAGGCCTCATCCAGCTGCCAGCATAGGCGTCTGTGCCACTCATTGTCTACACATTCTCTGTCTCCATCTCCAGAGGTGTGGGGCAAGAGGTGCACAGGTAGCCCCTTGTCCTCTCAGTCTCCAGCCAGGTACGTGACAATATGCTAAATAGAGACATTTTAATGATTCGGAGGAAGAGCCAACCCTCCTCCTAGCAAAGATTCCCATCTTGATAAGTTAGCTTGCAAAGGCTGCCAACAAGCATGCACCTATACTAGACATGTGCGATTTCGTTTTGTTACGAATCGAAATTCGTACAAATTTTCCTGAAATTCGTAAATTCGGAAGCATCCGAAATCCAAATTGCAGTTTCCGAATTATATCCGAAATACGAAATTCCGTTAACGAATTTCAGATCTGAATTTCTTTGAAACAGGAACTATTACCCCTGTAAATGAGGTTGAACAACATGACAAGATTTTTTTTTAAATCCGAAATACGGATCCGCTGCTGCTGAGAGTTGCATTACAATACACAGGCAGGGAATACGAAATTCCGTTGATGTATTTTCGTTCCGTTACGAACATTCGTTATATTGAAGTTAAAAAGCAAAGTACATTTATATTGGAGTTGATGGTAGTTTTTTTTTAATACGAAATTCGGATCCGGAATCCGTTAACGGAATTCGTATTTCGGATAAAAAAATAACTACCACATCGACTATTAACAAAGGTATTTTTGCTTTTTAACTTCATCATAACGAATGTTCGTAAAGTTACGAAAATGTGCCGAAACTAACGAAAATCCGTATTTCGTACGAATCCGAATTGAGTTTCGAATATGAATTACGAAATACGAAGTAACGGATATTTCGGAACGAAACGAAACACATTTTTTGACGGCGCACAAGTCTAAACTATACATGAAGCAGTAAGAGCGCCACACTAATGGTCAAAGAGTTCAAAATGATGTTTTCAATAATCGGTAGAAAAACAGTCGATGCCGTTTCGGGAGTTCAGAAACCCCCCTTCTGTAACGTACCTCGGCCCCGTGCCACGTCACGTGTGCGTTCCAGCGTGGAACACACCAGACAGGGAAGCCGCCGAGGGTTCCCTCCCCCATTAGGGGAGGTACTATGCGCTCCACGCTGGAACGCGGAAGTGCGCCGCGGACGCATGACGTCAGGGCCGCGGCCTATTTAAACTGTCTATGAACGCTGCAGGGTGTTCACTATTGGGTTCGCAAGCCCAAAACCAACTCCAGGACCTCTTTGCTCCCAGGAAGCCTGCCTCCACTTACTCCAAGAGGACGAGCCCAGCACCCAGCACCCTGCAGACCAGTGCATAAAAGCGCAAGTATTTCTCAGTGCTCTCTGAGCCATCATATGGGACTTAGAGTTCGTCCTCTACTAGATTGGGAGTTGTGCATAACTTATGGACTGCCTATGTTATACTGCCTAGGGATCTGCATATGTAATATCTAGCCCGCTTAAACTTAGAGGTACTGTGAGATCCATAACCTGCGCTACATATCAAATATATATATATCCCGGTCTGAAGTTATATTGCGGTGACTAATTGCTCATTGGAACTAGGTACATTCCTTATACTTAGGAACCATCTGGCTTCCGTGGGGTTACGATCTAGTACCACCCACGCTACCTCTTTTTGAGTTCTTTAGTTAAACCGGCAGATGATGCAAGAACCCCAAACTCTCTGTCTTTGCAAGAGAGTGACGCCTGGGGTTCATTGACTGAGTGCCGCCCATTAGTCACACCTCTATCCCTTGAATCCGCAGTTGCGATCCAGACCAAGCTACTTGGAACCAGCGGCTGTGACACCTTCATCAGGGTTTGTATGCTGTATGATTTCAATTATGGCCAGACTCAATTGAATTGTGATGAATAGTTCTCTTTCTCCATATATATATCTTTTTTAGGGATGTCCCGATACCGATACTAGTATCGGGGCCGATACCAGACATTTTCACGAGTACTTGTACTCGTGAAAATGCCCCGATTCTTAAGGCCTTTACCAGCCCTTTACATTTTCAAACAGCAGCTGCCGTCCGAGTTCCCGCGCTTGTGGGGACCTCGGCAGCCTGCTGGGGACCTGCAGATAGCTGTCCATGGCAGTGTCTGTGCGGTTCTTTATCTCCTGCTTCACGGCGCAGGCACAGCCATGGACAGCCCCAGGGGACACTGACGGGGAGGATTTGACCGGTACGGCCTGACTGGACGTGGCAGCGCCGCTCTGAACGTGGGGGAAGCCGGATGAGGTGGAGTGCCCGCTGAGCCACTGCAGATGTCCACTACACCTGGTGAGATCGAGATGCAGCTTGGTGAGAGGAATTCTGCTTTGGGGACAGGGACATGTGTCCTGCTGTGGGGACATGTTCAGTTCTGGTGACATCTGTATTTAGCCCTGGTGAGAAACTGCCCTAAAATTATGAGTCTGTGTTGTTTTAGAAAAAAAATTCACATGTCCCTTGAAGAAAAAGTATCGATAATTGTTATCGGCAAGTACATGAGGGACAATACTTGTACTTGTTCTTAAGAAAGTGGTATCGGGACATCCCTAATAAATATAATATATACACTGAGTGGCCAGATTATTATGACACCCCCATCAGTACTTCGTTGGGCCGCCTCGTGACTCCACGAGATGATGAAAGGTGATGCGAGGAATCTGACACTGCACTGTTACCCTTCTGTTGTCTTGTACCAGTCTTGCCCCTCCCCCGTTCTGCCCTAACATTGACTAGTCGCTGACGGCCACAATTCGCACGTTCAGACCCAGATTTTCGGCTGACAGTCCGGTCTTTAAACACTTTAACAATGAGCTGCTGTTGAACATTTAACGAATTCTGCTGTTTTGCTGATACTCGCTCCATGGCTCCGAGCGCCAACAATCATCCCACGTTCAAAGGCTGTTACATTGCGTTGTTTCCCCGTATCTTCAGAAGCAAATCACTTCTACTGTCGTGGCAACCAACCTACTTCCCTATTTATAATGGTCTGGCCCTCTAGCAACTTTAGCGCCAAATTATAGCTAATTTGCCTACAAACGTCAGGTGGTCATAATAATCCGGCCACTCGGTGTATATAATAAACTGGCCACTCAGTGTATATAATAAACTGGCCACTCAGTGTATATATCTATACATATATATAGATATATACACTGTATATTTATACACACACACAGATACTGTAATTATTCATTAAAATTAAATTGAGTCTGGCCATCATACAATATACAAACCCTGATAAAGTGGGTGAGTATGAATACATCGACCCCCCGAAACGCATTGCCTATTTTTCTACTGATCGCATACTATAGGGAAACTATTACCAGGTATTGACACCTAAAAAGTAACCCAAGTCATATTTTCTTCATAGCCTACTCTAATTATAGGATGCGGTGTCCTGATTTCCTGACCGAGGGACAATCTCTAATTAATATACTAATTACTGAATAAAACATCATTTTGGACTATTTTATGATTAGTGTGCCACTCGTAAACCGCTTCTTGTATAGTTGGGTTTTTCCTCTCCCTCTTTTGGCTGTGTTCTGTTACATGTGAGCAGCCTGTGTGAAACAAGTCACATTGATGATTGATGAGACGGTCCTTTCTAACATCGGATATTAAGAATAGAAGATCTAGCGCCTCTGTCTTCACGTCTACTGCAGCTGAAGACACCAAAGGACATTTCCCTTCCACTCTGGTGGCTGAATGTGGAGAGGTGAGCCCATCCCCAGGATCAGGTGAATATATTTTCTTTATTGCAGCCACTAGACCAAAATGTCCTTTGGTTTCTTCAGCTGCAGTTGCATTAGACGTGATGAGGTCATGGGTCCTTAGATGGCTGAGCCCAGGGGAGTAGAGGCTGCAGGGACCGGTCTATCAGCAAAGGACCAAGGATCAGGTGAGTAGGATCCCTAGACCAAAACAAGCCCTTAACTCTTGCAGTGCAGGGGTAGCCCTACTGCAGCATTTAACCCTTGCAGTTCAGGGGTAGCCCCACTGCAAGGGTTGATTTTCTACATTTCCTGAAGTTCTTCTTTAACTGTAACAAGCAACCTGGTGTCACCATCCTGGCTATACAGTGAGGCAGTGGTGGGAGGATCACAAAAACAGCTGGACAGAATGGTCAATATTTTGTTAGGCAAAGCGGCCAGCATGTATGTATTCCAGATGCTTATTTGGTGGACATTTAGCTGTAACTGAAACGGTTCGGGATTTGGAATTCTAAGATGCGAGTTCATCTGTATGAGTGATGAACTGAACAGCTACTTACTGTCATAATCCAGCAGGATTTCAGCGGCGGTCAGCAGTTTAACAACGTGTTGAGGGTCTGTGATGTTTAATTCCAGCAGATGACTATCAGTCAGGTCCTTGAAGTCCTCGATGGTCTGATAACCGTTCAGCATGAGGGTGGCGATGTGTTCCTGGGGACAAGCGGAGGGTAAAAACATTTTAGCTCAGTTAAGCAGGGGAGGAACCTGACTGCTATGTTGGGGGCTCAACTGGAACTGAAAGAAACAAAGTATCTCGTTTGTATAACCTTTTCCTTGTAGCACCTTCTTTGCTCTATTACCAGTCCTCTTTAATCAGAAATGTATCGGCCACATGGAGTAAAGTCTAACCTGCATGTTGATACGTTCAAGCAGCTCTGTCAGTGTCAGTGTATTGGGTTGTGATGTTTTGCTTCTTCCATGTGTCCGGATTTTTCTGGGGGTCTCGGTTTCCTGGGGTATAATTTCTACGTAGATGAACTTAAACGACCCCACCTTGTTATTCAACATGCCCGTCCAAGTTCCAACTGGAGGTTTCTCTATGATGTTGATAATGTCTCCTACCTGAATGCAAACAGAAAATGGAAATCACCAGAAGTTTAATTATTATTATTATACAGGATTTATATAATGCCAACAGTTTGCGCAGCCCTTTACAATATAAGGAAGACATTACAATGACAATACTATTCAAGACAAGATGGTAAGGAGGGCCTGCCCCTGAGGGCTTACAATCTAGAAGGTAAAACCATGTTCTATTTTGAGTTACAAAGTCAGCCCATACAAAAGTGATATTTTAGTTATAGGTAGAGTCTGGCGGGCTGAGTCAGCTATGGCATCCTGAATGTATTGGACACTCCAACAATAAGATCTCAATGCCATATTCTCTGTGCTCATCTCTGTTCCTGTCCACCACCTATAAGTTGTGGATGGCATCATTCCCCTTTCTATGTTCCAGCTCTCCCTGTTATTTTCTCCATACTTTAAAATACACAAATCCAGCAGGGATGGTGGGCACCCCTCATAATGGGCACAGCAGGTGTACAGACCCAGTAACTCAGCACGGGGATGGTGGGAACCCTTAAAATGGGCACAGCAGGTGTGCATGCCCAGGAACTCAGCACGGAATGGTGGAAGCCCCTCATAATAGGCACAGCAGGTGTACAGACCCGGGAACTCAGCACAGGGATAGTGGGAACCCTTAAAATGGGCACAGCAGGTGTACAGACTCGGGAACTCAGCACAGGGATAGTGGGAACCCTTAAAATGGGCACAGCAGGTATGCAGACCCAGGAACTCAGCACAGGGATGGTGGGAGCACCTCATAATGGGCACAGCAGGAGTGCAGACCCAGGAACTCTGCACGGGAATGGTGGGAGCCCCTCATAATGGGCACAGCAGGAGTGCAGACCCAGGAACTCTGCACGGGGATGGTGGGAACCCCTTATAATGGTCACAGCAGGTGTGCAGACCCGGTATCTCAGTGCAGGGATGGTGGGAACCCCTTATACAAGTGCAGACCTGGGACCAATATTGAACTTGAACCATAAATGCTATGTTTTGTGAAGAGAATCACGCATCCCTAGTCAAAATTGATGACGATGAATGCAGCATATCATCAGAACATAGGAAGGTGGACATTTTGGACAGCGAGGACAATTGGTTCACAGGGGGCATGAGAGAGTCCATCTACATCAAAATGGAACAACCATCCCTAAACAAGGGTGGGGGGTTTTCAGCACCATCTTACACCCATTTATAATGCCATTGTAACCTCTCTTCCGCCCTGGTGATTTAACAACATTTAACACCTTCGGCCATATAAATCAAAGGAATAACTCCTGTTGCAGGCTTCCTGCCACCAAGGATGGGATGATGGAATTAGAACAAGGAGGTTCCACAACTTTGAAATCTCCCATCCTATTCCTGGACAATCAACATCTGCCATGACACATTCCATGGTGATTGGATTAAGGTGTCTGTGCTGCCTGTATGGGGTATGTACTGACACTCAATGGGAACTCAAGAAGAGGCTCGGATACGCTGCAAAACATCTTCAGCATTACAGAACAGTTGAATGTTACTAACCACTGCTAGCTTAAGATAGTGAGGATTATTACTCAGGGATACTGGATTATGACCGAGTAGGAGACACTCACAGAGGGGCGAGAGCTACTCGGGGCAGTGGACCACACTGGGGAAAACGCGCATTACTTACGTTTAGTAAGGAAACAAAGGCAATGTGGGTGATAAATGACTTTGGATCACTAACTGTCCTCCTCTGTAGTATTCAGTCGATGCGCACACCAAACTCATACATCTCCTACATGTCTGGGAGAAGAATTTATGTTCCGTTTATAGTGTTTTGTGTATCCTGGATAATACTATGTACACGATTTGGAAAACTCAGAAAAGTGTTGGTACGTGTATCCTGTGAAAGCTGTTGTAACTTTACTTCTGTTCAACACAATACAACTATTTTGACAAAAAGATAGTGAGGATTACAAACAAATGGCAGGACATGTCCAAATCTCATAATTTGCCAACAAACTGTAAGAGGCCCATCATAAAGGCCTTCAAGTCAAGTTTCTGCAATGTATCTGCTGCAGTACATTCACTGGAGACCTTCCAAATGGTTCTTCAAAAGAAGAATTTTAGATGCTGTTTAAGGCAAAGTTCTGTTCTTCTTCACTTTCGGGATTTGTGTGTAAATTATATCGGTCCAAAGCCTTACCCTGAGTTTGAGTGAATCCTTTTCATATGGACTCGGCGTGAAGTCAGTATGGACCTTTGCTCTCCCGCAGAACGGCCCAGTATACGGAGGGGCGAGGTTTTCTATGTTGATGCTGTCTCTGTTGCTGTAGGAATAAGACGGGCTGCACAGCTCGCTGCCTGCAAACAGAACGGATAACGATTGGCAACAGAACGCAGTGCAATGTATAGGGAACATTATATGTGCAAGTGTTAAGCTGACCGCACATCAATTGTACACATTGACCTTGTATTGGAATAAGCTAATTGTGAACTTTAACAGTATGGTGTGACACTTCAATCTCACACACTCTCCCTTCAGTTAGAGTTCTTGGAAACCCTTTGGTTTGCAGGAGCCGTTAGCCTCATGTTCAAACGCTGTGTTTCACCCCCACACCAATAGTTGGTAATAAGGGAAGACTTGGGGATCCAGTGCCATCCATTCCTTCAGAAAATATTGTGACAATAAGTCACGCCGGCAAACAGCATTTTTTTTAGATGTTCACCAATCGCAGTGTTCATATTTCTGCCATATCTTTTTCCCAATTGTTGCTACAGAGCAGAAGAGTTAGAACTACTCTCATCCTCCTGGTGACCATTTGTCACTACGACAATCCGAAATTTTACAGATGTTACCAGAACAGGAATAAAGGGGGAATCTTCCAATGGGGACACCTATTCTGATGACAAGAGTCTAAGAGGGAAATTCCCCTCACTATGGGGGACGTCTCTTATGTTCCTGCTCTGTCTCTTGGCCAGGAAATGTTGGGATTCACTCCCAACCAGGACACAGGGAACAATAATTACCTAACAGAGGTTCTATCCTTTCATCACTTTCTTAAAAAACATTTTGGTTGCCATTCTACTTTAAAGGAGAACTATGAGTGATTTTCACTCACCTCATAGTTCTAGCCGACCTGTGACAATGAGACTGTCACAAGTCAGCTCAGTAGATCGGGAGGTGAGGGAACACATACCGGCGTTTGCTCACCTCTCGTTCCTGTTACGGCTCTCTGCCGTGACAGGGGAGGGGCTGGATTCCCCCCTCCCCGCTCCGATCCGCCAGCAGTGACTGGCGGAACGGACGGGGGAGGGGGCGGGTACAGCTGGCTCTGCCTCTAGATAGGCAGAGCCAGCTGTCAGTCACGCAGCTGGGCGGATCTCGACATCGATGTCGGGATCCGCTCCAGCTGCGGCGTCTCAGTATACAGCGAGCTGTAGCTCGCGGTATACTGAGCTTTGGGTGACGGGAGGACGCTAGTTTGTGTCCTCCCGTTACCCTAAGGAGAACTATGTGGAAAAGCCTTGACCCCATAGTTCTCCTTTAATGTTCTTGATGAAAACACATCTGAGGGACAATATGTCTGTGTAGTAACTTGGTATAGGCAGTGCAGCGAGGAATATAAAGACCTTGTACATTGGGGAAAGAAAACAACCTCTCAAAAAACGAATGGTCCAGGAGGACAAATTCTACAGGTCAAATTTTGCTACACCTAGAGGAAAAGGAACATTCTTTCTAGGACTATGAGGTGGACTCTTTGCACAGAGAAGACAATTGGTTCACAAGAGCCGTGAAAGAGGCCCTCTACCTCAAACTGGAACAACCGTCTCTGAACAGGGGTAGGAACCTTCGTCAACATTTGTCTTCCACATACACTGGCTGGCCCCCCCAAAAAAAGTCACACTCTAATATTTCATCGGACCGCCTTTAGTTTTGATTACGGCACACATTCGCTGTGGCATCGTGTCAATAAGGTTATACAATGCGACAACATTTATTTCCATCCAGAGTTGCATTAGTTTTTCACCAAGATCTTGTAGTGATGATGGGAGAGTCGGAGCGCTGTGTAAAGTCTTCTCCAGCACATCCCAAAGATTCTCAACGGGGGTAAGGTCTGGACTCTGTGGTGGCCAATCCATGTGTGACAATGATGTCTCATGCTCCCTGAACCAATCTTTCACACTCTGAGCCCGATGAGTCCTGGCATTGTCATCTTGAAATATGCCCAAAGGCTGAGGAAAGGGGGATTATAAAAAAAAATGAAGGAACACTAAAGTGTAAATAAGCGATTTATGTTATAAATGGTTTTTGCGCTGTGTTTGTGTTGTGATAAAATGATACAGGAGTATATTTAATTGCAACACAAGGTATCACAACGCACAGCAATGCGTCACAAAGCTTTGCCATGCGCTGCCGCAGTTAAATTCATGTTTTTTTTACAAAATAAAAAAATCATGCACTGCGATGCGTTCTAACAACCCACTGCAGCGCATGTGCCTGGCATACTGCAGCCTCAGCACTGAGTACAGAGGCTTCCCATTCATTCACAAACTGCTGATAGTAAGATATTTACTATCAAGCAGTTTCTGAATGGGGAGGAGCCTCTGTACTGAGTGCTTCTCCCCATTGAGAAATTCATGAATGAACAGGAAGTGATGTAAATCACCTCCTGTTCATTCATAACTGGGGACACCTATTACTAGGTGTCCCCAGTTATTTACAAACACTGGAGTGATCAGACGATCACTCCAGTGTTTGTGCTGCACAAGGAAGATCGGTAAATAGCAATGATACTTACCGATCCTCCGCTCGGCCACGCACACAGCCGCTGCCGTCCTGAAACTGACAGAAGGACAGCGGCTCTGTTCTCCTCCCTGCCTGCCGCTCGATCACGATGAGCGGAGCCGCTGTCCTCCTGTCAGTTTCAGGACGGCAGCGGCTCCATTCATTTTTTTTCGGATGCCCGCTGCCTCAGCCCATACAAGCGGGGGAGAGCACCGGGGATCCGCCCCCACCCCCGGGCCCCATAGCGACCGCATCGGGCGCTATGGTGGTAGTTCCGCCACTGCTACCAGCTGTACCATGACCCGGATCCATCAGAACCTTCACAGACACATCTGAGGGACTCTTGCTCAGGTTCACAGATTTCTTTATAATTAAACAATAGCTGACGACAGGAAAGAACTGAAATCTCAATGTAACGGGTCTATTCCAAGGCTTTAAACCCTTCTTTGCTTAGCAAGTCTCCTCTTTGCGTGTCAAGAAGTGAAGTTATACATTTGGTGTTCAATTTAACAAGAGGAACCATAAAAGGAAGCGGAAAGTGAAGCCACAACAGGCAAGCATTGCAAGAGCGCCACTCGTTGTATCATCGCACTTACTAAAACGCGAGTGTGTAATGAGCTGTGTGCTCACAGCCTCAGAGGTCAATGAAAAGGATACAATGTTATTATTCGGCCTCTATAGATGCCTATTGCCAGGCTAGAAAAATCAATGCCGCCCTGTGCGATTAGTAAATGTTACCCTCAGGTATTTGTATAATTCAAACTTTAAAATTGTGACTTTGCCTAGGCTCGGATTATGTCGTCAGTCCGCTGCAGGCAGGAGGCAGCATTTCCTCAGTCTCCCCTCCCCCAGCGATCAGACTGCTGCAGGCAGGAGGAAGCATTTCCTCAGTCTCCCCTCCCCCAGTGATCAGTCTGCTGCAGGCCGGAGACAGCATTTCCTCAGTCTCCGCTCCCCCAGTGATCAGACTGCTGCATGCAGGAGGAAGCATTTCCTCAGTCTCCCCTCCCCCAGATGATTGTGACTTTGCCTAGGCTCGGGTGATGTCATCTCCCCTCCCCCAGTGATCAGTCTGCTGCGTGCAGGAGGAAGCATTTCCTCAGGCTCCCCTCCCCCAGTGATCAGACTGCTGCATGCAGGAGGAAGCATTTCCTCAGTCTCCCCTCCCCCAGTGATCAGACTGCTGCAGGCAGGAGGAAGCATTTCCTCAGTCTCCCCTCCCCCAGTGATCAGTCTGCTGCAGGCAGGAGGAAGCATTTCCTCAGTCTCCCCTCCCCCAGTGATCAGACTGCTGCGTGCAGGAGGAAGCATTTCATCACTGGTGCAGGAGATACAGAGGCACATACACTCACCAGTGGAGGTCTGCCTGCTGACAGATGTGTGCTGATTGTCCTCAGGATCAGACAGTTTACCGTGGCAACTCCCATCCAAACTGCTATCCAAAGATGTGGGAGATAAGGAACCAAGCTCTCCCGTTTCCCCCTACAAAACACAGAAATAGAAAGGTTAAAGGGTGACTCTGACCGCACAGGCACAGGGTTGAAATACATGTATGTGAATTGTTTTGCATGCAAAAGTATTTGTAACTGCTCAGCCAGACTTGTGATTCAGATACCTCTGGTATAAAGCATAGTCTAGAAGGGTGACACCACTCCTGCATAATTGCTGCTTCTTGTGTCACCTACATGTTTGTTGGACTATAATAGGACATCATCTCACTGCTGAGGTCCTTCCTGGACTCTCCCTCTGCTATAAACTGGGGGTGGGCAACTCTGGCCCTCCAGCTGTGCTTTAACCACAAATGCCAACAAGCCTCTGCCTCTGGAAGTCAGGCCTATAACTAGGGTTGCCACCTGTCCAGGATTCACCCGGACAGTTCGGGTTTTGAATGCTGTGTTCGGGTTTCATGGCAGCAGAAACCCGGACACAAGATGTCAGGCAGACAGGGGCAACCAAAATTAGAATAGGGGCTTCTGGCTCCCCACTAAAAACAGTCTCAACTGTGATATTTGCATATGAATAAGCCGCGACTCATTCTCCCCCAAAAATGTCTGTGCATCGCTTCAGTGTTCGGGTTTCACTTGAAGAAAAGGTGGCAACCCTACCTATAACTGTCAGTCTTGCAATGCCTCATGGGACTTGAAGTTGGACAACAGCTGGAGGGCTGCAGTTGCCCACCCCTGCCCTAAACGCTTCTCCTCTAGCCCCCAGTGCAAGAAAGATGTTAGGCAGAAACCACTGTGGGAAGATAATATAAAGAGACGCTCAGTTGGCCACTGAATCAGATACACGTGCATGTTAAATAGCTAAACCACGTGACTGCAACTTAAAGGAAAACTATGGGGCCAGGTCATAGTTCTCCTGAGGGTCACGGGAGAACACGTACCCAAAGCTCAGTATACCGTGAGCTACAGCTGAGACGCCGCAACCGGAACGGATCCTGACAATACTGTCTGGATCCACCCAGCTGCGTGAACATAAAGCACGCAGACATTACTGATCCCTATAATCTCCTCTCACCATCTCGTCAGCCATGGCTTTCATCATCAATTTGCCGCTTTTCCTGTTCATCGTCCGCGATATTACCGCCCGCCATTTCTTGCCTAGTGTTCCCGCGCTGCGTTTCCCTTCTTCGTGTGTGTGCGCGTTTTCATCTTCTGGGATCTGCAAAAAAAAAAAAGAAAGAAAGAATGTTACAAACCTGAAACCTTTCATTTACTCTTATTAGAGGCGACCCCAATACAATACAATACAAGTACAATACAATACAATACAATACAAGTACAATACAATACAATACAATACAATACAATACAATACAATACAGGTACAATACAATACAATACAGGTACAATACAATACAACACAATATAACACAATACAATACAATACAACACAATATAACACAATACAATACAACACAATATAACACAATACAATACAATACAACACAATATAACACAATACAATACAACACAATATAACACAATACAATACAGTGCAGGAAGTAAAGGAGCTTCTCTCCGCTTTAAGGAAAACTTTTTAATGAGTATCTAAAGCCAAAACTTTTCTTAGTTTTTTTAGTACAGAGAGAAGTCGTTAGACATTCTTTATTGGGAGAATCGAGATTATTAGACGGGTAACTATTTCTTTAGTTAGAGAAATGTATCAAGTTTTTCTTTTGAAGCTCCGCGGTGCGCACATTGTAACAAAAGTTCAAACGGATGTCACCAGCACACCATGTAAGTGAAATCAATAAAAGTCAGTTTATTAATGGAGTACCGTCATTCCAGTACAAGCGCTTTCAGGGGCAGCACAGGGTCCCCTTCCTCAGGCTCAGAATGACGTTGTTACATAAACCTCTGTGAACAAAAAAAAAATATGAACCGTGAAATCACCGCGCACAAAAAG